ATAGTGCCTTACCAAACTGCAAGCAGCGGGATTCCCATAGGGAACAGCCATGGTACTTGAAGTGGAATCATAGTGCTATAATTGTATAGTGTGAAAGGGCACAAATTCCATTGATTCACTGTGATTAATCTACTGTAGTTGGGATTAATAATTGGATTCAGACCACATTGCCCAAGCATTTTTAAGCTTTCTTGCCATGATTTCAAGAATTTCAGTATTTTTTTAAATAAAGATTCTCAGGAATCTTTATTCTGTATCCAAAACCTTCTTATTTGCTTGCATGGAATTGTGATGGTTAGGCATCTCTGGCATTCCTGATCAGCAAGTAATTTATCCCTGTTTTGTCCATGATCCCCTGTGACAAAAAACAAAACAAAAACATTCTCACCAGTAATACATTCAACAATGCACCATCCAAAAGGGGACACTGTTGACATAACAAGATTCCAAAATCCGGGGAAGTAATTTAGCCATAAGAGTACCCCATGTAATTAACCCCATTAAAGAGGTAAATCACTAATGAAAAGGATTGCAGTAACCTTTTAAAATTATACATGGATTAAAACTATGGATATTCTGAACCTTTTCTTGTTGTCCCTTTTCTTGACTAATCTAGTTGTTCTTCCATGGCCTGGTGCCAGTCCATCTGTACTTCTGATGAGAGTTGCCAGACATCCAACTTTTAACTGGTCTAATCAGAAAGAATATATATTTGCTGGTAGATCATCCAGGTCAGGAGATGAATACTACTAAAATAGAGAAACAATCTGAATATAAATTTAGCAGGATTTACCTCAGATCCTTTAGGTTCCAAGTTCCCCAGCAGATAAATAGCTTTGGAATCAAAGGTCAGCAAGTCTACTTATCACTTTTTACATGTTCCAGGTCTTCTTTTTGGATCAGCTAATTCAAAACAAAATACAGCACCCAATGGGTGGTAGATTTGTGTGGGACACAGTTCATCACCCAGTCAAAAACATTAATAAGAGAAATAGAAAGAAATGGGAACAGAATAATACTAGCAGCATTAGTAAAGAATGCATTCACCTAAAATGCTGTTACATTGTTGTTCATTGAGTACACATAGTACCATAATTATATCATATCTGCATTTTCTGTTATTTCTCATTAAGCATAAAAGGTAAAAGTATGGTATTCCCCGTTGACAAGGTTGTCAAGTCGTGTTACTAAGTCCATTATTAAGCTGAAGAGCCAACATTGTCAGAGACTACTCTGTGATCATGTGGCCAGCATGATTGCACAGAACACTGTTTAAGCATACAGCAATGAAATCATTTCAAAGAGTGTGATGGGGGGGAGAGGTTTTCAAAAACTCTTTTGCTGATGTGGAGATACAGAACTTCTGATTTGCCACAACCTGAGACCCACCAAAGCAGAGGTGTTGTGTCATGCATGTTGTCCAACCTATTATTATAGTTACACCCACAGAAAATGTACACTGCAGTTACCTGGGAGTAAGCCCCATTGGACTCATTGGGGCTTACTTTTGAGTCGATTGCACTGGTGGCTTGTCTCGTGTAACTGATGAACTCCATTCAGTGTGGTGGATCACAAGCGTTGAAAGGTTACCTTATGTGCCACAGTTTTTGTGAACACAGGCTCTGCTGTTTGTAGCTAAATATTGTTATACCTAATTATGAAATGAGCAAATATAGCTGACTCTTATATGCTGCCATGAGTAGCCCATAGCTCTGTGTGTCCCCATGGAAAAGAAAACTCTAGGGTTTAATTCTTGGATTCTGCTTCTCACTCCATGAGCAGGAGCTAGGAGCACTCCAGAGCTGCAGCCTCAACCCTGGGAGGGATGGAGCCTTGTGTCATTCGACAACAATGACCCCTACTGGCCAATTTAAGGAGAAGCATTGAGGGGCTCTAGAAGGAGTCACTTCCAGTCCTCCTCAGAGGTTGGTGGCTATTGCACGGGAACTAGTGAGTGGAGATGAATTAGTGTTGAATTGGTGGGTGTCTTTAGAATTCCTTTGTAAGAAGCAGAGGGCCCCACATAGGCCTAGGCCAAACAAAATTGAGCTTAAATCTCATTGAAATCCACTGGAGAAGTTAGTTACAACTAACTTTTATTTATTTTTAGTGGGGCTTAAGCACAACAGATTTTGTTTTGCTCAGGAGCCAACTTGTTTTGTTTTTTTCTTCTCCCTTTGTTTGGCATACGGAATAAGCATACAACAGTTGTCTTTTGCCCCTTTTATAACAGTAGCAGTTCAGAGACCAGGATACAAAATGAAACCATGGTATAGCTCCTGGACAGACAATCGTGGTGCCTCTTACGAATAGCAATCAGGCATCATTGATTTTGGAAGACACTATAATAAAGGGGAGCAAAGCCTCAGAAAAAAGAAAATCCCCCTTTGACCCCCCCAAAAAACCCAGTTACAGATGACATTATCATTGAGTGTTTGTTCATACATTATGAAAAAAAAAAGCAAACTGTTTATTTTGTGATACTGTGCCATTCAAACATTCGACAAAAACATTTGACCATAGATCTTAACAAGGCATGAATGTGGTGGTTTTCAAACCATGCTCTCAGAAGAGCAAGAAATGACAGCGGAGTTTCTCTAAAAGATTTTGCCCATCAGTTCTCTTGAGTTGTGTGTATGTTAATGTCATCTATGGTGCACTTGGTGTTTTTGTGGGGAATGAATGAGGCCCAGAAGTTCAGCCAAGGCACTCTTGTAGTATGACTGCTTCAAAATATGGGTGTATACATAGGGCCTCGGCAGATGACTAATAGAGTTGTCTCCGAGGCCTGGAAGA